TATCTAAGTGGTATTGAGAGATTTGTCTTTCAGTTCTCTGGCTCTGGCTTCCATTTTTTCAATTCTATTCCTTTGCCCTTTCATTGATTTGTCCATTTATGATATTTTATTATTAATCACTTGGACCTCTTTTTTCAGGTTTTGAGTTGTTTCCAATGCTATTTTTATCTTATTTGATTGTTACTGTAGCACTTTCCTGACTTCTTCCTTCTTTTTCTCAACTTTTCTGTGGAGCATTTGGATGCACTTCAATATCATTCTCCTGAATGCCTTCTCAGGCAGTTCCAAAGCCTGTCCTCCTTCCAGTGTGAAGTCTAGGTCTACCTGCAACTCATTTGTTTAAGTTATTCTATCTTGTTCCTGGACATGTGCTGAAATTTTCAACTGTCTCTTGGGTATCTTTAAAATTTGATGTGTTTTCAATAATTAGATGAATACTGATGTGTTATTAAGCTTTCTGTAGACGTGATCTGGAGATTGGCCTCCTTTTTCACTTTTCTTATTATTCAACTCAGAGTAACTGTAGCAGGTGTTGGCTATTTATCAGATGTATAGCAGCTGCTATTGGCTCTTGCCTGGATGGTGGAGTTTTATAGGGTGCGATTGTAGCTTGGGAATATTACCACAATTGTTGTCTCTTCTAAGGTAACATAGGGAGAGAAAGAGCCCCCCCACCCAAAGGTAAAAGAGGAAGCAAAGAAAACAAAAAATAAAACCATAACAGCAAAAAACAAACAGATTGGATACTACAATCTATAATCACACACACACACAAAACCCAACAGCATACAAATAAAAAGCAAAATCGTAGCAAAACATGAGTGTATCGCTTCTCACTCATCTGACTGGAGCCATCTGGGAGACTGTTAGGTTTTAACCAGTTCCTATTGATTCCTCCCCCTTCTTAAATTTTGCGCGCTGTGGTTTTTGCTAAGCAGATCCATGCGCATGCATAGTAGAACCCTCCGTTTGTGTGTGTGTGTGTGTGTGTGTGTGTGTGTGTGTGTGTGTGTGTAGATAGTGCAAGACCAATGACCAGGAAAAAAAAATTTCACATCTTTATCTCTGACAACCAGTCAGACCTCTGTAGAGTGAGTGCTCCTCTGATCCTACTCCTACTCTGCCACACCCAAGATGGCTGCTCCAGTACCCGCTGGCATCTGCAGATCAGAAAATGCCAACTTTCTTTCCTCTGTTACAAATACCACTAGCAGTAAACCTTCAATCCTACTAAATATTCCTTTACATGTAGTTCGGCATTCTGGGACTGTCCCCTGAACCTACTTCATTCAATATTCTGTGTTATTACTGTTGGAGGTCTGCACCATGCTTCTCCCTAATCTGCCATCAAGCCCCACCACTCTTACTTAACCTCAGGTTGAGCTTTAAGGGAAAGGTGGCAGTTAATTAGTTTTTCAACATCTGAGTCAGAATTGACTTGATGGCACAGAACTACAACAGCAATTTTAGGCACTGGAGATGCAGAAGGGACAAAAAACAAAAACCAAAACAACCAAAGTTCTTGATCACCTGGAGTTTACTTTATAAAAGAAGAGACAGAAAGAAAATAGATAAATACACATATAATAAAATGTCACATAATTTTAAGTGTCATAAAGAAAAATAAAGTAGGGTGTGGGATCATATGAAGAGATTGTTTCTTGATAGGGTAGGCAGGGAAGGATTATCTGAGGCGGTATTATTTAAGCAGATAATTTTCCATATTCATTCAACAAATCATTATTGAATATCCAATATATGTAAGTGATGATGTTTTCTACCTTGGTGTTACAGAATAAAGCAAGATCCCTGTTTCTGTGGACTGAAATCAAGCAGAAGAGCTACAACAATAAAATATTGTTGCAAGGAAAATGTGAAGGATGTTAGAGATCAGAAGAAATATTCTTTTTAACTCTAGATATTAGGTAGTCTACCAGAGCCCTGACTGCTGGCTGCTAACCACAAGGTTAGCAGTTCTAATCTACCATTCACTCTACAAAGAAAGATGAGATTTACAACCTGGAAGGAGCTCTGGTAGTGTAGTGGTTACGAATCAGGCTGCAAACTTTAAGGTCAGCGGGTCAAACCTACCAGCCGCTCCGCTGGAGAAAGATGAGGCTTTCTACTCCCGTAAAGATTTACACCCTCGGAAACCCTGTACAGTGTCGCTATGGGTCAGAACCGACTCGACGGCACTTAACAACAACAAAGATTTACAGTCTCTGAAACCCTATATAGGGTCACTATGAGTTAGAACCAATTCCATGGCCAACCACCTTCACCATCACCATACCAGAGCAAGATAGGCCTGAGAGAATGGTTTGTGGATAGGTACATGTAGGTGTGTATATGGAGGGAAATTCATAAGGGAATGAAAGAACTCATCATGAATAAAAACAAAGTGGCTGTAAATGTAAGGGTGCTTAGAGAGTGATACGAATATTGAGTTGAAGAACAAGATGGTCTCTGAAACTTAACTTGCAAAACCTCTAGCATCACAAAACAGTTCCTATAAGCAAGTCATTTATATGAAACCTTGTATTTTATCTTTAAAATTCAGGTGACATTTTTCATTATATTGAATCAATTCATTTTTCCTTATTTTTACACAAAATATTTCCACCCAAAGTTTGAGTACATCATATTTACCTTGTAGCTTTAAGTACCCCATGTTAGTTGGGTGTGCATATCTTTGTTTGAAAATCAAGGGTAGGAGAATAGCAAGAAATAATTTTTAAAGTAGGTATATTATTGTAGAATCCATATATTATTCAATCTTAAAAATAGGAAGCGGAAAAGTAGTAAATACTTTTTTAATAGGACATTTATCTCATCTTATTCATGCTTTTTTCTCCATCTAGAAAGTACTTTCTCTTCAAAACTCTATCCATTCTTTATGGTTGATTATTATTGTTAAGTGCTGTTGAGTTGGTTCTAACTCAGTGACCCTGTGTAGCGTTTCTGAGAAGCTGCTGGTCGGCTTCAAAAACTGATCTTTTGATCAGCAGGCCAGTACTTATCCTACAGGGCCACCCCAGGACTCTGTTCTTTATGGTACAGCTCAAATATTACCTCTTCCATCCAGCCTTCTGTGATTTTTATACTTGGACTTTTATAGCAATTGATTCGTACTTCCCTAAACCTTTCTATGTTTTACCTTGTATTTTAGTCATTTTCTGTTCATATCTCTGTTTCTTACAGCACCAGGAACAGGAACTTCAACATAGAAAGCAAGAGGTGTATAGAATGAATGCATGGATAGAACCACAGAATTAAATGATTAATCTAGTATAAGACAAAGATGTTCATGAAGAGGATAGATAAGAGGTAGTGAAATTGATTAGGAGGGTGTTATCATTGTTCAACCAAGATGTAGTAACCACTGAACCAGGAAACTTGTAGGATAAGTACTTAAAATAAAGGGAGCAACATTGCAGAAGTAGTTTTTTATTTGACTGAGACAGAAAGTCAACTTGGTGGCTAGAACATTGTTCTGTTCATCAAATTAGGGAATTCCAGTTGGAGGTCATATGTGGAAGGAAGATAGCAAATCTGAAATTTTCACATGTTAAAATCTGTTGCTGATGGAAGAATTATGTGATACTGTCAACTGGCAAGTGAAATTATCCAGATCTGGAAAAAGTTGTGAATAAAGATAAATTTAGAGCCATGTGAAATGAGATTAGAACTCATGCCAATATTTTGAATCTCTGAGCGTACCAATTTGTGTAGAGGGAGAGAAATGGAGGAATAAAAATAAGAAATATCCATGTTAAAAGGGGCAGGGAAAATAGAAAATAGGGAATGAGAGGTCAGAGAAGCAGAAAGAGAACCGGAACAACCTGGAAACAGAAGAAGAAATTCAAGGAAGAAGAAAAAGCAAGTCCCATCAGAGGCTAAGGAAAAGTAACACTAGTAGAGACCTTTAGAGGTGAGAATAGAAAGGGAATGAAGACAGAATTAAGGTGAAAATACCAAGCTCATGGTTACAAATTGTGAATTTGAGATTTGTATACTTCGTCAAGTTTCTTGTATGGTGCTGTAGAATAAGTACTTTGCTATTTGCAAAGTTAGTGGTTGAAACTACCAGCTGTTCCTCAGAAACCCTATGCAGGATTGCTGTGAGTTGCAATCGACTCACTGACACTTAACAGTAATAGCAACAGAATAGGGGAGGAGGCCTGTTGTATGCTATAGGATAAACAATGAACTGCTAACTGCAGGAAAGCCTGTACAGCATCACTGTGAGTGGAACCAATTAGATAGCAAACAACAACAGCAGGGGAGAGGGACTTAGCACAGGACGGTAGCCGGAGCTCAAATCATAGTGAGAGCAAGGTGGTATTGATATCCCCAGACACTTCATTTTCTGCCTGTTCATTCCTGTCATCCCATTCACTATCAATTCCCCCTGACGTTTTTAAAACCATTCTTTCTGTTGAAAACTTCTGTGTCCTGCGTCCCATTTCTTTGGAGCATCATGTTGCAAGTGTGTTCTAACAAATGACAGAAATGCAAGACACTTTCTGAGAAAGAACTCTACAGTCAGGAAAGACTGGTAAATTTTGCAGAGCACATATATTAAAGATCCTGAGAAGCTCTGTTGAACGGAAATCTTATTAACATCAAACTGTCAACATCATTTGTTCCTACAAACTAGTATTTAAAAAATTTTAAATCCTTAATGGTCCCATGGCATGGTACCCATATAAAAAAACTTTGCTTTAGAATCTTTGCAATAGATAACTGATACTATAAATTAATATATGTTTGGTTTAATGGGTTTGAAACAGTGATTAAGCTTGTAATGTTGAGTATTTATAATTTACCAGAGAATTCAATGGGAGAATGCAAAGATGGAAATAGTAGGCAATATGAATTGCCGGTGATGAGATTTTTGTCTATTAGACCTTTCAAATCACACCACTGAAGTGGATAATGTCTACTGAATATCTATTTACTCTTGGAAGAATATCTGAAGCCTATATTCTTTTTACTAGGACTATTACTGTATTTCGACCCCAGAACTTCAATCAATTTTTCATCCAGCCTGAAGAATGGAAAGGAGGAATACGGCACCACGATGATATCTTATGTGCTGCATTTTTACCTCCACAAACTCTGGCTACAGGTCAATTGAACATTCACTTGATAATCTGTGCTGAAATTCTGAACTCACTCAAAAACAAACAAACAAAATGCCTTTTGTCAGCTACAGATTGCATAGGTTTCTTTGGGAAAAAGGTTTTGCACTTAAAGCTATGTGATGCTTATGACCATCGGTTCCTGAGACTGGCTACGTAGTTCTACTACTTGCCACTGCTTGATTTAGAGCATGTTATTTCAACTTAAAATCATGGTTTCCTCTGGCCAATTATAATATATCTGTATATTGGTGTGAGTCCTGATGTGGCACTGTAGGATAAGCACTAGACTGCAAGGTCAGTTTTAACCACAAGGTCAGCAGTTCAAACTCACTAGTCACTTTTCAGAAACCATATTTAGAGTCGCTATGAGTCAGAACCAACTGGACAGCACTTAATAACAACAAAATATCTTGTTATATGGAGTCCCGGTGTGCACTGTAGGATAAGCACTGGACTGCTAACTGTAAGATGGGCAGTTCAAAGCCACCAGCTGCTCCTTGGAAACCCTATACAGGTTGCTATGAGTCAGAACTGACTGGCTATCACTCAAGAACAATAGCATATCTTGGTATATAGTGAAGCCACATAAGATAAATGGTATAAAATCTTCAGAGCTTGTTATATAATAAACTTATCAGTAAACACTGGCTTTTATTTTTATTATTCTTTTCCCCAGAAACAGAATTAGGACTATTGTGTAATAAACATACTTCTGTGGTGTGGCACTCAAGGTATTTTATATTGGGAGCATATTAATCCTTTGACATAATTTAGCCTAATGTTAGCTAGTAAGAGCTCTGTTAGTTAAGTAGTTGGTTGTTAACTAAAAGATCAGCAGCTCAACCTACTGGGTACGTCACAGGAGAAAGATGTGGCAGGAGAAAGTTGTGGCAATTTGCTTCCATGATGATTTACAGCCTTGGAAACCATATGGACCAGTTCTACTTATAGGAGATCTATGAGTAGGAATGGACTTGGTAGCAACAAGTTTGGTTTTGATATGGAGTTGGTTAAAGATTTGATTTACAAAATGTCTACAAAGCAAGCCTCTTAAAGGCTCTACAGACATGCTTTCGTCTGACATATTAAAGAGTATAAGAAATTGTTGTATCATTTCCAGTCAAAGACAACAATTTACAAAGATAGATTGCACCATGAAATTATTAAATCAGTATTCTGACAGCCTAATTTTTAAATAAAGCTAAAAATGCCATAAATTAAGTGTAATGAAAAGTTACAGGAAAAAAGCAAGGATATCTATGAACTATGAATTGATACAATATGAGGTTTATTGATCTACCTACACTTAAAATTTCACTGTCTTCGGGACTTCCTTGATTCCATTGCATTAGTGCAAACTCTGTAGTTGAGGTTGTTTTTATACTTTTATAGGTATCCCTGCAGAGAGTATGACATAGTAAAATGTGATGGGAACAATGAAGTGTTAAGCTGTGTGGTTATTATTGTGAAAGTTTCATAGAATATTATTGAAGTATTGAGTTGAAGAATTTACTGAATCTTAACTGAATTTCTAGTTGGAGAGTAAGTCAGTGATTGGTGAATATAATATCTCTTCATCCATTTTCATTCCATTAGGCATATGTAAAAATGTCTTGCAAATAAACCATTTGAAAATTCTAGGAGAAGATGGACACTTCCTTGGACAGACAATATCTATCCTCTTGGTCAATTTGTGAACTACATAGCTTTATCTTTCCAGGAAAACCCACAGGTCTATAGAATTTAGTATATATTTCTCTTTCTTCTTGCCAAATTCCAAGACAGATACCATCTGTGCATCACACCCAAACACAGTTCTTCTCTTCTACTCTCTATTAATATGGATACTCTGCTCAAGAGAGATTTTCTTACTGAGTCGCTGAGAGCAACAGTCTGTTCCTCCCCTGAACCACCTCATGGCCAGACTCAGCCTCAGTCTTTCAGCTTTTCTGTGTGTCTCTTTGGGGAGCAGTAGGAAAGGACATTCTGTAGAGAAAATTTTAGAACTGGAGAAAGCAATAATATTCAATTAAGAATTTTGAAAGGAGGCAATGAAAAAAAAAAAACATACACTTACACATACACACACAGCTGTGTGGAACAGATACCTTTCTGTTGTCCTCATTCAACAATAAAAAGTAATGATAGTAATAATTATTGATAGTTTTCAGTACTTACAATATACTAGGTACTATTTTCAATCCTCACAGCAACCCTATGACAAAACTACAATTATTAACTCAGTTTTATAGGTGAAGAAATTGAGGTATCAAGTACAATTAAATAACTTGCCCAATGTTACACAGTTTGTAGATGGCAGAAGCAGGACCCAAGCTCTAGTTGTTTTACTCCAAAGATCTAACTCTGAATTCTTTACTATAATAAAATAAAATAAAATAAAATGATAAAATAGTGCTTTCTGCTACTTCACCTGTACAGGTATGTTGTAAGGATCATTTGAGATACGGTATGTGAAAGCCATTTTAAGCTGTGAAGTGTAATGAAAAATATTAGCTATCATTATTCATTAGTGTCTCAAAAAATATATAGCAATAACTTCTAATTGCTGTTGCTCATATTTTCTCTCCAATTTTCTGGCAACTTATCTTCTCCATGATGTTTCATATAGGTAGTTATGATGGTGAAATTGTTCTATGGAACAATAGCACAGAAAATGCCCACCATGTCCTTCACCCTGATTATCAGAGATTGCTAAAATCAAACTTGGGTAAGTGCAAGTTTGAAAGGTAAGTAATGTGGCTGAATAACCACAGTATGCCTTGTTATTTATGCATGTACCTGATACAGCTTCCTTCTAAATTATATATGATTGCCTATAAGCACAAGGGATTAGTGATAACAGTGTCTTCTCAAAGAGACTAAAAAGCACCTTGGGATTTCATTGGCTTACTAAAATTTCCATGGCATGCCATTTCTTCTCTTTATGTCACATCAGTATTTCTGAGTTACTAATGGCAGGAACAGAGCTTTCATTTTTAACCAGTTTAGTTTTTGCCAATAAACCTTACCAAATTGTCTTTGACTGAATCTTGGGTACCCCATTGGTAGGAAAACAGGAATACATATTCACTTAATAAGATGCTGAGGCTCAGTCTAGATCTTGTATTAAATATTATGCCACCTGGAAATATTAAATTATTCCTTGCTTTAGAAACCTGTGAGGAACATTAGACGAAAATATATTGTATTTTATGGGAATTTAGCAGAGCACGTGAATATTTTATACTTAAGCAAAATGTCTTGACTATTGCTTTTCACATTTTTGTTTTATTTTCAGGTTTTTTTTCCCCCTTAGACTAATTTATTTGGGTAATGAATATGTCAGTTCTCATGACCCAGTGAGATTCAGTTGTCTCAATTGTATAAACTCACAGAGGCTGAATTATACTGATCTTCAGATATAGTTTCTCTTGGAAATCTGAGGAAGTAATGTGTTAAAAGTAAGAAAATAAGCTTTGGAGATTGAGGGATTACTTGGCTCCAGACACAAAGCTCTGATCTGTTTTGTGACCAGAGTCAACCATTAGGGTTCATCTAAATTTTTCATAACATGGGCTCACACGGGTTGGTCAATGTACTTGACAGCAATTAACAACAAAATTTATATAAAGTGTTGGTTCTGGGTTTTCCATTACTTTGACTTCAGGAGAATGCCATTTTTCTCTTAAAGCAAACCTAATTGTGGCTAACATTAAATATGTAAGAGAAAAGGGAAGAGTAGATAGTATTAAATTTCTAACACACATAAAACTTTGCTATAGATTTTTAAAATTTTTTTTATTGTGAATTGACTGGTTTACAGAGCAAATCATCAGTTATATATTCAACAAATCATATACTTCATTACAATGATTGCAATCCCCTCCATGTTCCTACAGTTAACAGTATTTACCTCTATTTACTTTAACTGTTACATTCTTAACCCCTCTGTATCCCACTACTTTCATATTTCCTCTGCTAATCTCCTGCTTGTTGTATATTGCCTACCTTGTCACTAATTTTGATATATGTCTATTCTCTAACTCATGAATAATTTCCCTTCTTCCTCCCCTTGTAACCATCCTTGATTGTTTATTTTATTAAGAAAACTTTTTACAACATTGGTGTCATACAATAACTGTTCCTTTGTGATTGACTTATTTCACTCAGCATAATGTGCTCAAGGTTCATCATGTTGTGAGGCATTTTGCAGATTGATTATTACTCTTCAGCATTGCATAATATTCCATTGTGTTATGAACCAAAGTTTGTTTAACTGTTCTTCTGTTGATGGGTTTTTAGATTGTCTCTAATTTTTTGATGCATTACTTGTAGGCAGCTTATTGAAGGATCCTGTTCTCTTGGCCATTTTGCTCACTCTGTCTTTTGACTGGAGTACATAATCCATTTACATTTATTGTAATTATCGATAAGTATGAATTGATACTCATTTGTCAGTTTGTCATACTGTAGTGGCCTGCATGTTGCTTTGATTCTGGAAGCTATGTCACCGGTATTTTAAATACCAGCAGGGTCATCCATAGTGGATAGATTTCAGATGAGCTTCCAGAACGAAGACAGACTAGGAAGAATGAGAGATGGATTACTTCTGAATATCAAGTCATTGAAAACCTAATGAACAGCAGTGGAACACTGTCAGCACCAGAATGTTGAATATTGAAACATGAAGAAAAGCACCAGAATATTGTCAGATATAGTGCCAGAAAATGAGCCCATCAGGTTGAAAGGCACTCAAAATACAACTAGAGAAGAGCTGCCTCTTCAAAGTGGAACTGATCATGATTATGTGAATGGAGTAAAGCTGTCGAGACCTTCATTTGCTGAGGGGCACAACTCAAAATGAAGAGAATATCTGTTTGTTGTTTTTGTTAAATGCCATCAAGTCAGTTCCGACTCATTGTGATCCTGTATAGGGTTTCCAAGGAGCTGCTGGTGAGCTTGAACCACCAACCTTGCAGTTTAAGTCGCTTTGCAGTCTGATGCATTAACCTATGGTACCACACCAAGACACCAGTAACAGCTGTAAATATCATTAATAATTGGAACATGGAATGTATGGAGTATGAATCTAGGAAAATTGGAAATTGTAAAAAATGAAATTGAATGCGTAAACATTGATATCTTAGAAACTAGTGAGTTGAAATTGACTGGTATTGGCCATTTTGAATCTGACAATCACATAGTTTACTATGCCAGGAATGACAAATTGAAGAGGAATGGAGTCTCATTCATCATCAAAAAGAACATATCAAGGTCTGTCTTGAAATACAACCTCTCTGTGATAGGAAAATATCCATAATCCTACAAGGAAGACCAGTTAATACCATTATTAGTAGAAATTATATACCAACCATTAAAACCAGTGCTGATGAAATTGAGGAATGCTACCAATTTATTCAGTCTGAAATTGATCAAGAATGCAATCAAGATGCATTGATAATTACTGGTGATTGGAATACAAAGGTTGGAAGTCAAGAGGAAGGATCAGTATTGGATAACATGGTCTTGTTGATAGAAAAGAGGCTGGAGATTGTATGACAAAATTTTGCAAGACCAGTGACTTCTTTATTGCAACAAAATAAGAGACATTTATGAACATGGATTTCACGAGATGGAATATAAAGAAATCAAACTGACTACGTCTATGGAAAGAGATGGTGGAAAAGCTCGGTATCATCAGACAAAACATGGCCAGGGACAGACTATGGAACAGACCATCAATTACTCATATACAAGTTCAGGTTGAAGCTGAAGAAAATTAAAACAAGTACACGAAATCCAGAATGTGACTCTGAACATATCCCATCTGAATTTAGAGACCATGTCAAGAACATTTTTGATGGCTTAGATACTAAAGACCGAAGACCAGAAGAGTTGTGGGAGGACGTCAGGAATATCATAGGAAGAAAGCAAAAGGTCTTTAAGAAGACAAGAAGTAAGGAAAAGACCAGGATGGATAGCATAAGAAACTGAATCTTGTTCTCCGGCACAAAGATGCTAAAGCATATGGAAGAAATTAGGTGATAAAATAGCTGAACAGTAAGTTTCAAAGGACAGCTTGAGGAGACAAAGTGAAATATTATAATGCAATGTGCAAAGACCTGGAGTTATGAAATCAAAAGGGAAGAACACTGTCAACATTTCTTAAGCTGAGGGAACTGAAGAAAAAATTTGAACCTCAGCTTGCAATATTGAAGGATTCTAAGGAGTTCTGGTAGTGTAGTGGGTTATGAGTAAGTCTGCTAACCACAAAGTCAGCAGTTCGAAACTACCAGCTGTTCTATAGGAGAAAGATGAGACTTTCGGCTCTCATAAAGATTTACAGCCTTGGAAATCCTATGCAGGATTGCTATGAGTCAAAACCAACTCCAGAGCACACCACCACCACCAAGAACCTGGACAAAACATTAAATGATGCAGAAAGCATCAAAAGAAGATGGAAGGAATACAGAGTCACTGTACCCAAAAGAAACGGTTGATGTTCAACCATTTTAAGAGGTAGCATATGTTGTTAGGTGCATTCAAGTCGGTACCAACTCATAGTGATCCTGTGTACAACTAACAGAATGAAACACTGCCTGGTCCTTGGCTAACCTCACAATTGTTGCTACACTTGAGCCCACTGATGCTGCCACTTTGCCAATCCATTTCACTGGGGTTCTTCCTCTTTTTCTCTGACCCTCCACCTTA